TGCAGGCAGGAGTGAAAGGGAAGGTACCCCATTGGATAAAGTAGTACCTAAGCAACAGAAGACACCGAGTCACTGAGAAGGGTGAGCTTCCAGATTGGCGAGACGTCACAAGTGGAGTCCCGCAGGGTTCAGTCTTGGACCCATACTGTTTCTGATATATGTAAATAATCTCCCAGAGGGTATAGAATCGTTCCTCTCACTGTTTGCTGATACAAAAATTATGAGGATTAAAACAGAGGATAACATTAGGAGGCTACAAGATGACCTGGACATACTGAGTGAATGGTCCAACAAATGGCTACTAAAATTCAACCTGAGTAAATGCAAAGTAATGAAACTGGGCGATGAAAACAGGAGGCCAGACACAGGATACAGAATAGGTGATGAAGTACTTCCACTGAAAAGGAAGGTAAGAGCAGTGATATCGAAAGTGATGAGAGTGAACTAAATATAAGTGACTTACTGTGAAAATGCGTGAACTAGAGATCCATCGTGAAATAGAATGGAAAAAGCTAGAAATCGCTAGAGAGAGAGAAGAGGAAGCGAGAAAGAGAGAAGACAAGAAATTAGAAATGGAAAGAGAGAGATTAGGAAAAGAATTAGAGATAAGGCGTTTAGAATTAGAATGAGAAAGAGAGAGAGAAGAGCGAGAACGAGAAAGAGAAGAGCGAGAAAGAGAAGAGAAACGAGAAAGAGAAGAGCGAGAAAGAGAAGAGAAACGAGAAAGAGAAGAGCGAGAAAGAGAAGAGAAACGAGAGAGAAGAGCGAGAAAAAGAAAGAGAAGAACGAGAAAAAGAACGAGAAAGAGAAGAGAGAAGAGAAAGAGAAGAACGAGACAGGCAAGAACGACGGGACAGAGAGGAAAGAGAGAGAAACATGAACTAGAAGTATTGCGGTTAGGTGGTCGGAGGCAAACGACGGACACCAATAGTTTCGATCCGGTAAGGAACATCAAAATGGTCCCAAAATTCAACGAGAGGGAAGTTTCGAAGTTCTTCGCAGCCTTCAAGAAAGTCGCTGCCTCTTTGGAGTGGCCAAGGGAGAATTGGGCCATCATGATACAGTCAGTCCTGACTGGGAAGGCCCAAATCGACGTTATGACGACTCCGGCGATTATGACAAGGTGAAGAAGGTCGTGATCATGGCGTACCAATTGGTACCTGAGGCTTACAGGCAGAAGTTCAGGAACCTGAAAAGACCTCAGCACACTTTCACCGAAGCCACTATCAGGGAGCGACTTTTCCAGGAATGGTGTGCCTCTCGGAAGGTGGACCTCGAGCAGCTCATACTGCTAGAGGACTTCAAAGACTGTCTGTCTGGAGATCTGAAGACGTACCTAGAGAAGCAGCAGGTGGAGACCTTGAGTGCGGCAGCCACCATGGCTGAGGAATACATCCTGACGCATAGGCCTTCTGCTAAGTACGTCCCGAGGAATTACCAACGCCGGTTTGACAAACCTCATGACGAAGAGGAGACCCCCGTCCCACGAAGCGCTAAGAAGACGCCCCCAAGTAGCCCTCGAAGGACGAGTCCTAGCAGTCCGAAACACCGGAGTCCGAGGAGGAATATGGACTTGTGGGCAGAAAGGGCATGTAGACCCGAGGGAGTGAGTGTGGTTGGGAGACCAAAGGTTATCCTGGTTGGGTTTCCTAGAACAGCGACTTGGTGACAGATTGGAGCACCAATCATCCCAAGATTGTGGACTTCAGGAACCTTTGTAAGAAATCATTTAGAATCTTTTACACCATATATGTGAGACCAATCCTGGATGCCCCTGCTTGATATCTGTGGAAAATGCGGCTTAGGACAGTTCTGTGGACGAGACAGCACGTCCCCGTACTAATTTGGTTTGTTTTCTTTTATAGAGCCCAAATGGACGACGACACCTGGTGAGGACGAGGTGTACCTTGTCAAGCACAAGACGAAGCTGGAAAAAGTTCAGAGGTATGCCACTAGACTAATCCCAGAACTAAGAGGCATGAGTTACGAAGAAAGGCTGCGGGAAATGCACCTCACGACCCTGGAAGACAGAAGAGTAAGGGCAGACATGATCACGACCTACAAAATCCTCAGGGGAATTGGCAGGATATGTAAGGATAAACTGTTTAACTCTGGTGGTACGCGAAGAAGGGGACACAGATGGAACTGAGTACCCAAATAAACAACAGGAAAGTTAGAAAGAACTTTTTCAGTGTCAGTAGTTAACAGATGGAACGCATTAGGAAGTGATGTGGTGGAGGCTGACTCCATACAGAGTTTCAAATGTAGATATGATAGAGCCCAGTAGGCTCAGGAACCTGTACACCAGTTGATTGACAGTGGAGAGGCGGGACCAAAGAGCCAAAGTTCAACCCCCCCCCCCCCCCCCCGCAAGCACAACTAAGTGAGTTGAGCTAGGTGAGTACACACACATTCATCATCTACACACACACAACACGTTATCAGGGGTCCTCTAACACTCTCTCAGGTGTCACACTATTTCATCCTGGGCTTTCACCTCGTCAGGAAGCCGCTGATAAAGTAAAAATCAAACTACTACTACTACTACTACCACCACTTTCCACCACCTCTACCACTAGCACCAGCGGAGCACACACTGGAGAGTCACTCGGCAATATGGAGAAGGGGCCTCACATCATACTAATGGGGATTCGGCCCCTAACTGGCCTATCGTCTCAAGTACTCCCCCTTACTGAGCTGCTGTGACTTACTCTCTCTCCTTATCTTCGGGTGACCTCCTCCTAATCCCCCTTTTTGTTTTTTGTACATTGTCGTTCGGCCTGCTGTTATTTCTCTCTTTTCTCGTAGACACACTCACCAGGACGAGAGCAAACACGGTTGTCTGACAAACATTTATTACAGACAAATAAAGAATACAAATTATAGCGTGATGTCATCAGGTCATGGTGCTACAAACTAGCATCACGCTTGTATAATGTCAGTGTCCCAACACCTTGTCTGTGGTAGGCTGCTGCTTGAGCCTCTCCAGCAACACCTCGTGCATCAGTCACCTCCCCGTCTAGGCCAGGCTTTCTACATGAAATTCGACACAATAAAAAATACCAACACACTCACCCTGCTTTGTGTCAAGGACTACTACATGACTCCATCCACCTCTCAGACATATAATGATGTCCCCACAACACACTGTATCACGTCCAGACGATCAGCCACTCTCCTTACACAACAAGTCACCTTTATGGTGATTGATCTTCCTGGAAATCACTGTTGGAACCATCCATCAGTGAGTTCTCAAATTAAGTAGATCCTCTTGCAGTTTCTATATCATTGCTATATCAACTCTGGATACACCCCGTCCTCCAAAAATGGGGAGGTAAATGTAACAGCCCCCCCAAAGTGCAATTATGTACTATGTATGGATGTCAAGAATTGTACTTATTTACACTTAGTATTAAATCGTACTGTGAAATATATTGTGAATATTTGAGTTTACCTGAAAAGCTGAATAGAAAACCACGACCTCACCTAACCGTCTTAGTTTTTGAAGATAAGCATTTTATTGCTTCTTAATTACAATTACTACTTAACCTATAGCTATATTGATATTACAGTTTTATAAAACAAATAAAACAAAACTACAATATTTCAATAAATTGTAAAGTAACTCAGGATATTTTCAAATTTTGTATAAAATCTCTATTGTTTAATAAAACTGAAAAAAATTCCTCGTATTTAAAACGTGGGTATAGGAATCTAAGTTTTAAAACTTCATCCTAAAATTCTGAATGTCTTAACAGAAAACGAGAATTAAATGGGGAGGTAAATGTAACAGTCCCATAAGTGCAATTATGTACTATGTATGATAGTCAGGAAATGTACTTATTACACTTAGTATTAAAACGTACTGTCAATTCGGAGGATGGGTTGCCACTTCATTATCCCCACAAACTTTCTAATCCACAATCATAAACATTAAACAAGATCGCTGGACACACGATCTTGCCGCAACAAGCAAGACACGACAGTATATAAGCTTCTTACCGCAAAAGGATGAGGTGACGACGCGTGTCCACGACGTCGAAATATGGCGCCCTGACAGGTCGCCACAAATTTCTCTTTGACTGCCTCTAGTCAGCTCCTTCCAGTCCCGACTTGCGTGTGAGGGATCAGGGAACAGGTGCCAATCAGGAACACCTGCCCAAATGATCCTCTTGAAGGTTTCACACACTGCGGGTCCTCAGGGCACCACCACCTAACTGACTTCAGGTCGTCCCTAAGTCGTTGCCACTATTTAACAGAGACGTCACTGATCGTCCTCCACAGCTTCCTCACACGTTACTCACGTAAGGAGCCAACGAGCCAAAGCTCAACCCCCGCAAGCTCAACTAGGTGAGTACGTAGCTCCTCACAAATTCCTCTCCATAAGCCCCAAATATCCTCCTTCTTCCCTCCTCCTCCCTCCTCCTTCTGGGACGCCGACGTGTCTCTCTCTTCCGACCCTCACAACTCAAGTGACTCAAGTCTTAAGACCTCTGCCCACGTCACAAAGACTGTCAACATCTCACCATGTTTCCTTAAAGACGCTCACCCGCTGCTTACCTTCTCCTCAGTCACGTTTAATGAGGTGTGCTTGGTTTAATTCCTTCCCCCTGACTCTTATATCTGGTCAGGATGGGAATACCTGTCACACGGGTAGGGACCTACATCATGAGGCTACACTCAGGTTCATGACAACCAACACACTCATCATCCACACACCCAACTTTTCCACCACACCCACAACCCCTCCCTCCACTCCACCCCCTCCTCTCATCATCTCCGAAACTCTACAAAACCCCTTAATCCACTTTAACTACTTCTTAACCCCCACACACCAAACGCCCCCCCCCCCCCGATCACCTTCTAGCCAAAATTTCAGTGTACTAAACCTCTCTAACAATCTACTGACCCCCTCCCCCATCAACTAACCCCCTCCCCCATATACCACCACCATTAACTAACGCCTCCCCCCCATACTAACCCACTCCCCCCACCAACAGGCGTACATCCGGCCGGACTCGTGGTGGGCCATCGGGGCGATGCTTTTCTCCTCCCTGGGCGTGGTGATGACTGGCGTAGTGGTGTGGGTCTTCGTCCGCCACAACGACACTCCCGTGGTTCGAGCTTCGGGCCGGGAGCTCTCGTACGTCCTCCTTTCAGGCGTCTTCCTCTGCTACGCCATCACCTTCATCTTCGTCTTGAAGGTGAGAGGGAGGGAGGGAGGCAGGAAGGGAGGGATGAAGACGAGGAAAGAGGGAGGGACAATAGACAGACGGAGAGCAAGAAATCACACGAGAATGATGGTGAGTAGAATAATAAAACAATAAGAGGAGGAAGAAACAAAATTCACTGAAAGTATATGTACATTCAGAGTCCCATTTCGCTTCTGAGTGTATATTCTCTGAGTGCATATATTTAGAGTGTATACACACAGTGTAAATATACACCGAGCCGTTTTCTATTGGTCCTGATTTACATTTGCAAGTACAAAATATATGTTCAGGAAGGATATGTGGCTTACTGACAATATACATTGATAACCTTCCGCAGGATGCAACCCTCAACAGTTGTCTCACTCCCCGGGGAACTATTTACTGCTAGGGTGATCAGAAGCCTCAGGTGAAATCAAAGTTGCCCAACCGTCTCTCTCTCTCCTCGTTCGAGGATCATACCCTGCATATTCAGGTGTGTGAACCAACAACGAAGACCACTTCGCTTCAAAACACGGAGCTGCTCTCCGGAGACATCAAGATCACATCAGCAGCATCCGCTACAGTGGTGAAGTCAAGACAGCCTTCAGGAACTGTGGAAACATTCACAACTCTATATAGAGCATACATCTGACTACAGTGCCAGTGTGCAACCTTTACATAGAGCATCAAGCTAAGATTATGAAATTACAGAGATATGCTACAAAACCAATCCCAGATTTGATGGAAGTGAGTTATGAGTATTGACAAGAGCCGAGGCTAAGAACACAAACGGGATACATACGAACATGATTATGACCTACAAAGTACTCTACGGTACCCATGAAATAGTTGAAGTTAAGCAGCGACCTTACGAGAGGACAGGCAAGGATGCAAGTTGTTGTTGTTGTTTAAGATTCGCTACCTGGAACAAAAAGTTCCAAGTAGCACGGGCTATGGTGAGCCCGTAGGTACTTAGGATGCTAGACCCGCAGACGAGTCCCCGGAATGTGAGGAAACCCTTAATTCAGTGTAAGGCCAGTATACAAGTAACACTATTTAATGTACCAATGGTGGAAGCCACCGCCATCCCTAGTACTGATACTACTTATGACATAGGGGGTCGAGACGGATTGCATTCGACAACCGCCAGTTAGACCGGCGGAACCCAGGAGCTGACGGCCAGTCCTGCAAGATCTGTTAGGCAAGAGGGCGTGCACGCAAACACACGCACGCCTCGACACACACACAAATAATGCATAACGTTTTCTTAAGAAAGTTACTGCAATCAGGAAATGCGGTTTATCTCTTGAAAAAAGTGGGTTTTACCCCCTCCCCCTCCTGAATCCTTACATCCTCTTTCCCTCCTCCATCCTCTCACCCTCCCCCACCGTTCTCTCCCCACTCTCACTCTCCACCATTCGTAGTTCAACCTTCTCACTTCCCACATACCTCAACATCGCTCTCCAGCTCCTTCTCCCACTTCCTCCTTCGCCCTCACCCTTCTCCTTCCATTATCTTTCTTCCTCTCCCTCCCCTTTATCCATCTCCACTCTTCTCTTCTTTGCCACCCTTCCCTTCCCTCTCACACCCAGCCTCCTCTCCCTGAGCAGACGCTTCAAGATGTTACACTGCCAAAGATCACATTCACCCCTATCATCTCCCACCTTCGGGGTATTCATGCCCGTGCCACCTCTTGCGAGGGCTCACCTCTCTGCGTATTAGGGCTCTTGCATGATCTTTCATCATATATCATATCATGTATACCTCAAAGGAAATTATCATTATCATCATCATACTCGTTTTTATTTCTCTCTCTCTTTTGCCCTCCTTGGTTTGTCTCTTCTCTCACTGTTTATGTTACTCTCTCTCTCTCTCTCTCTCTCTCTCTCTCTCTCTCTCTCTCTCTCTCTCTCTCCTTCCCTCTCCTTTCCCATTACTCTCCCTCTCCATCCCCTCTGTCTCTCTCCTCTTCCCGCTCAGTAATTTTCGCTCATTTACACTTTTTTATCAAGTAGCAGCTCGTTTTCCTTCTCTTCAACTTCAACCAGCAACTGTCCTAACATTTGAGAACACGGTAAAGCTGTCGAAGACATCAAGTGACTTATGGCAGTGTGTGTGTCTGCTTCATGCTGGATGAGAGACCATACTTTTGTTTATCTTCTAATAAACAATATCTGTGAAAACACAATGATCTCAACTAGTTTCGTGCCTCATGTCTCCTCATTTCATTGGTAATTATTTTCTAATTCAATATATAATAAGTTCAAATCCCTTATGACTATGATCTTCATTATAATAGGTACACAGTATGTGAAACACAGTAGAATATCCTGACAAAGTTATGGGAAAGGGAGGGGGGGGGGATGAAGAGGAGGCTGCGTATGGACAATAACACAATAAAGAATGTCATCTTCAAATATGATCAGATGCTTCAGGAGGTCATTACTGCGTGGTATTAGAAACGCTTTAGCGTGTGATGTCTCATCAAAAATGGACATGTGATCCTTCACTTGTGGTGATGCTCACGACGCTGCTCACAGTGTGGCACCTCCTTGGGATCACTCCTCCTCTTATGAGTCTGCAAATTCTACACTCCACCATTTTTAGTTTACCTTATTTCCTGACTGTTCTATCCTCTTCTTTTTCTTGAGATATTATTTTAGATATCTAAAATATCTAAAACTATTTAGATTTGTGTGGTTGGGCACCATTCCTTTCCCCTGTCCTATCCCAAATCCCTATCCTGACCCCTTCTCAGCGCTATATAGGCGTATTTGGGTACCTGGAATGTACGAATTTGAGTTGACAGGGAAGTGGTTTGAGACGGCATGAGGGTATTGGACGTGTCAGATGAAGTATGGCAGGTCAAATAATCATGCAGGTCAGAATGTGTTGGAAGTATATGTTAGCTTGTGTGAGGGAGTGTTGAGAACACATTATGACACGAGGGGCACTAATTGGATTCGGTTTGTGGTTGAGAAAAGCTGTGGTTCAGGGAGGACCGAGGCCAGATGTGGCCAATGTGTAGAGCAGATTATGAGAAGACATGTATAAGTAGAGACATGTATAAGTGGAGACATGTATAAGCGGAGACATGTATAATACATCTAGCCTTGTGTATGTCTTGTGTTCAGAATACCATCGTTCCAAACACCTGTGTTAAAAATATTACAAAATGTTTTGGTGTGTGTGTGTGTGTGTGTGTGTGTGTGTGTGTGTGTGTGTGTGTGTGTGTGTGTGTGTGTGTGTGTGTGTGTGTGTAAACCCCGAGCTTGTGCAGGTGCTGAGTGAGGTGTGGGGATGCATTAGGAGTAAAGTAGCTAAGGTTGGGGTTGAGCGACGGGCTTGAGTGGTGTGGAAGTTTGCAAGGCACTGGTGTATGTCAGGCTGGAAGAGAGTTAGGGGTTAGAAAGGGGCCCCTTTTTTGTCGCGTTAGAAAGGGACCCCTTTTTTGTCGCGTTAGAAAGGGACCCCTTTTTTGTCGCGTTAGAAAGGGACCCCTTTTTTGTCGCGTTAGAAAGGGACCCCCTTTTTGTCGCGTTAGAAAGGGACCCCCTCTTTGTCGCGTTAGAAAGGGACCCCTTTTTTGTCGGGTTAGAAAGGGACCCATTTTTTGTCGGGTTAGAAAGGGACCCATTTTTCTCCAAGAAATACAGGTATTGATTGGTGGTTTCCCTCGTGTTGGGTCAGGAGACAGTGGGTTGGTTAGACACATTTTGTCCGGCACCGGTAACGACGCCATTGTCTGTGTCTGCTAGAGAGGCATAGCTGTTAGTAACAAGGCAATAGATTCACGTTAGCACTAGAAATGACTAGCAAATTAGGAGGTGCCTGTCGCATATACAGTTCCACCAAGGTTCGATATTGATGGTGAGTGGCTGTCAAGACTAAGTGGAGTAAATTGATGACTTGAAAGTCATAGTTCTTAGAGGCAATACCATCCATCAACAACTGGGACGCTGACATTGGCGAGAAGATTATGTGCGCGCGGGACGGGAAACACCTAAGAATGGGGGCTGTAACAACACCGGACTCCTTCCAAGAAGCAGTTAGCAAGACTCTAAACTTCCAGAGAAGACGCCTGAGGGGGAATGTGAACAACACGAAGGTAGAACAAGTCCTTGCGGAGACATGGCTAAAAAACACAAAGGAACTTCCATAAGTTGTAAAAATAACGTAAACCGTACGGCGTCAGCAGGGATTCATCCATTACATTCTCTCGTCTCTATTACACAAACTTTAAGAGAGAGAAATAAGATCTTAGAGCACCAGAGTGAACAAAGACGGTAGGCTTAGTAGGACTTACAGAGACTTGGACCAAACGTAGACTCAACAGATCATCTTCACAGCGGTCCGTCTAATTATCGAAACTAACACAAAGCTACCCAAAGCCTTCTAGCTTTACGGAAGTAATGAAGAAATATAATATGTTTACTCACTTAATCCACCCTAACCCCAGCACTGAAGCCCTCCAAGCCTTCTTCCTTGAAGGTCAGCATCCCTCCAAATGGATTACCAAAACTGCCAATGTGCTCAGAATGTATAACTTTCATCACCTCTACCATGAGAGACAACAACAGCACTTTCCTGTCCCATGGGAGATAACTTTTTTGCAAATTACTGTCTCCCCTTTCCCACCCAAGAAGCTGATTATAAAAACAAGCCTTGCTTCGACAAGAAGCAAAGTATAATGCCTTAAGCCAAATTGATGCTTTAGTCAGAGAGCGCTCCCTTTCCCAGATTATTTACACTGATGGATCCTTGCATCAGTCCTATGGTGCAGCTGGAAGTGCAGTTGTTGTGACAGGGAGAGATGGTTCCTTCTCCCATGAGTGTGGAGCGCGTCTCAGTAACTGGGCCTCCACTCTTCAAACAGAATTGTTTGCCATAATCCTTGCACTCGAGCGCGTATATGAATCCAAAGTTGACACGCTAATTGTAAGTGACTCCTTGTCATCCTTGACTGCCCTCATAAGGCATAACTGTGATGTGCTTATCTCTGAAGCTAGACA